AGCTCAGAGATCCACCTGCCTCAGCCTCCTGAGTTCTGGGATTAAAGGTGTATGCCACCATGCCTAACTTAAAAATGGTTTTTGTTTTTTAACTAATTTTTATTTCTTTTTCTGTACATGTCTGTATGTGTTTATGCCACACATATGCGGGTACCCAAAGAAGCCTAATGAAGGTGCCAGATTCTCTGGAGCCGGAGTCACGGTGGTTGTGAGCTTCCTGACGTGGGTGCCGGGAACCGAACTTGTGTCCTCTGGAAAAGTAGCAGATGCTCTTCATCGCTGAGCAGTCTTTCCAGCCCTTTAAAACCTTTTTTTTTTTTTTTTTTTTTGATAGAGGAAAATCTAAACCTTCACTATGAAGCAGAAAAGCTCTCTGGACGAAGAACAAATTGTGCTTTCAAGTTGCAGGAGCACGAACCCACTGGGGCAGAAACATTAAAGTGTCTTCCTTTCTGTGGTGACTGCCCTGTCCCTGCATTTGTGTCAAACCTTCCTTTCTCACTGGTTATTCGGTACCATAATGACACCTTGCTAAAATGCCAAAAGATTTTGTCACTTGCTCTCATCAGGAAAAGTATCGTGCTCCTCTGAGTCAGATTGTATTTAGGGTTCAGTGTGAAACATTCAGCAAAGAACTGGCTGGCTCAGCCACTGGTGAACCCAGCAGAATGCTCTTCCCACCTTCCCTCCTAGCCTCCTTTCTCTTCCTTTATTTCCTTTGCTCAGACCTTGGCCTAGACTTAATTTTGAGACAGGGTCTCACTAGCCCTGACCAGCCTGTAACTCAGAGATCTGCCTGCTTCTGCCTTCTAAAGAGATGGATTAAAGGCATATGCCGCCACACCCAGCTCATGGCCTAGACTTTCACAAAGCATTCTTCTGGCTTTAGGAGTTTACACGGAGCTGGTCCCAGTGGCCCATACCCTTAATTCCACACCTGAGAGGCAGAGGAGGGTGGATCTCTGTGAGCTAGAGGCCAGCCTGGACAGCAGGGCTATAGAGAGACCCTGTCCCATAGATAGATGATGGATGATTGATAGATAGATGATAGATAGATAGACAGATAGATAGATAGATAGATAGATAGATAGATAGATAGATAGATAGATAGATAGATAGATAGAGAAAAAAGATAAAAGTGTTTACACAGGAATTAGGAGCAGAGGATACACACCTTGTCATCAGCTTGACTCCATTATTGCCTGTGAGTACCTGATTGTGGTATCCAGGGGTCATCCTGAGCCCCTAAGGTGTTGAGAATCAGTCCTAGAGAGGTACATGGAAATCCCTGCATCTCTGTGGTGTAGGCTTCTCACCCTACAGCATGAAGCCCAGAGCGCAGCCTGAGACCAGCCCCTTCATCCATGATGTTGTTTCGTAGGAGGGTGAGGAAGCTGCTGGAACTCTTATGTAGCTCATGTACTACTTTGGCGCAAGGGGAGCTGGAAAGGGCTAGAAGCCACCCTGTACTAAAACATGTTTCTGTGTCTTAAGCGTGCCCACTCCTGAAGGAGATTAATAAAGATCACATGACCTGTGTTAGGCTCCACATCTGCTCGGTATGTGTGATGGGGACAGCAGTGATTGGCCAGTCCTGGACAGACAGTGATCATGCCCCTGAAGCTCTGTCCCATCTCTTGGGAACACATGAAATTAAAAAGTGGGGTACCTTCAAAGTTAATCAATGGACGAGGAGGAAAGACATTAACCAACATATGCCAACAACAAGCCAGGGCGCGAACACTACCAGACAAAGCGGGCTTTGATACCATAGGCACTACCTACTGGGATATAAAAGCCACAGTATCAAAGGGAAAATAAGTTTAATGTACCTAACATGGCCTCAAAATACATAAAACAAAAAAAAATTACAAAACTATAAGAAAAAATTCAAAATGAGATATGTTCACATACTTTTCTCAGTAATTGGTCAATTAATAAGGCTATAAGAAATTTGAAAGGTAGTCAAGTGGTTGTGGAACACCCCCTTAATCCCAGCATTGGGAGGCAGAGACAGGAGCATCTCTTTGAGTTCAAGGCCAGCCTGGTCTACCAAGTTCCAGGACAGTCAAGGCTGAAAAACAAACAAACAAACACACAAACAAACAAAAAAATTGAAAGGCATGGTTAGTTTTTATCCTGAGATTTTTTTTTCAGTCATTTACAAAGCAAGTTCCAGGGCAACCTACTTAAGACCCAGTCTCAGAAAACGTATTATCACTGTTGCAAAGCAAAACATAGCACATTTCAAATAACCTACTTTGTTCAGACTGCTCTTAAAAAAAAAATCACCATACACCAAAATAAAAAGCAAATAATAAAATGATACATAATTTGTGTGAGGGGTACTGAGAATTTGACCTGGAACATTTTACATGCTAGGCAAATATTTTACCACCCAGCTATAATCATAACCCTATAAAATGTTTTTGTAACCAGGCATATTGGCAAATTCCTTTAATCCCTGCAGAGGCAGGCAGCTCTCCTGAGTTCAAGGCCTGCATGGTCTACATATTGAGTTCCAGGGCAGACAGAGATACATAGTAGGGCCTGTCTCAAAAAAAAATTAAACCAAACAAAAACTTTGTAAAGAGAATAGCCATTTATTGAAGAAAACGTAAAATATTTAATAGTATTTTGGGGAAGCAATCATCCCTTCCATCAAAGTACTAACCAGGCCTGACCTGGTTTAGCTTCTGAGATCAGACCAGTTCAGGGCAGTCTGGACACACATCAGAGCAATCTTTTCTATGGAAAGTTCATAACAAAATTTCATCTGATTACAGAACATGTAACATTGATGTTTAAATATACAGTTGGTAATCCTGAAGGGGGAAATATAGAGCACATACCATTACAGAAACAAACACACCAGTGTAAGAAACAAAATGCTGAGAAACAGAGAAAACTACGTGCTTGGAAGATGTGAACGGGAATACAGTCCAAGGTCCCAGTGGACTCGTGGCCTCAGCTAACACAGCACCCTATTATACAGCTATCACTTGGTACCGGGATGATTGGGATGATTGGTTTCAGAACCCCCATGAGTACCAAAACCCATGGATGCTCAGGCTCTTATCTAAAATGACAATGTATTTATACAGAACTTATGTGTGCCTTCTCATATACTTTATGTCATCACTAGATTAGTTATATCTAATACATGCAAATGATAAGCAAATACTTGCTATATGGTATTGTTTGGGGAATAATGGCAAAGAAAAAATTATGTAGAGATATGATTTTCTAGACAGTTTTTCACATTTGTTTATTTTTGGTGGTGGGGTGTCATGAGGCATGTGTGGAGGTCAGAGGACAACTTGTGGGAGTTGGTTCTCTCTCCCACCATATGAGTCCCAGGGATCAAACTGGTCATCGGGCTTGAGGGCAAATGTCTTTATGCACTGAGCCATCTTCCTAGCCCCTGATACAACTTTTTAAAAAAGGTCCTCTGCAAGAACAGCAAGTGCTCTTAACTGCTGAGCCCGCCTCCAATCCATTCGAAGGAGTTTATGAAAGGCGGAGCTGGATGGATGTGGTGCTGTGATGGTGAAACCCACCTCTAACCTCGGCCCTCAGGAGGCAGAGGCAGGAAGATGTGCGTTTGCCGTCAGGGAGTGGGCGACACAGCAAGACTGTCTTGGTCTGCTCTTTACTGCAATGGTAAACACCACGACCAAAAGTAACTGGGAACAAAACGGTTTATTTGGTTTACACCACATAACAGCACCTCAAGAAGGGAAGTCAGGGCAGGAACTCAAGGCAGGAACCTGGCGGTGAGAACTGAAACACAGAACTGCTGCTTCCTGGCTTGCTCGTCCCTCGTGGATTGCTCAGTCTGCCTTTGTATACAACCCAGGACCACCTGCCCAGAAATGGCATCACCCACAATTGGCTGGGCCCTCTTACAATCATCTATCCAAAAAAAATGCCCACAGCCTTATCTACAGGCCAATCTGTTAGCAGCAGTTCTCAACCTATGGGTCATGACCCCCTTGGGGGAGGGTGTCAAACAATGCTTTCACAGAGGTGGCCTAAGACCATCAGAAAACAGGTATTTACATTACAATTTACAACAACAGCAAAAACATAGTTATGAAGTAGCAAGGAAAATAATTTTATGGTTGGGGGGGTCACCACAACATGGGGTACTGTATTAAATGGTCGCAGCGTTAGGAAGGCTGAGAACCACTGTGATAGATGTGCTTTTTCTGAACTGAGGTCCCCTCTTCCTAAATGACTGAAACTTGTATCAAGTTGACAAGAAACTAACCAGCACAAAGACCCTGTGTCCCGATACTCTATAACTTAAGGCAACTACTTAAAGTTAAGTGTAACTAATAAGCAGACAGTGAAAAGCAAAAAGTAACTTTAGAATGAGAAAGCTGCCGTGGTGCTAGCTCACGGCTGTAAATCAGCACTCGGAAGCTGAGGCAAGAACACAGCTGCTGACTGCGAACTGGGATGCACTGAGTTCCAGACCAGCCTGTTACAGGGGAAGACTCTGCCTCAAAAAACAACAAAGTAAATGCTAATATAGTTAACCTATAAAAGGCAGGGGAGAGAGGGAGAGAGAGATCTTTGAACATCTGTAAGAGGGAGAAAATAACTCATAAGATGGTAGATTCAAGTGGAATCATCTTAGTATTCTTACAGCCAAGCAGAGTAAACTGTGGCTATGGTTTATTGAGTATTTCAAAACCGTGAGCAGAGGACTGGGAGTGCTTGCCTAGCATGCCAGAGGCCTTAGCCAAGAGGATATTGGGTAGTCCCAACACTAAGAAATGGTAAAGGTTTGAACTAATGAATAAGCCAGTTGTCCTGATCTATGCTGTACAGACAAACTGAAATGTTCAAATGCCATCCAGTACTTCACCAAGTCTAATGACCTGAGTTCAATCCTAGGAACTCACAGATAAAAGGGGAAAGCCAACTCTACAGGTGCTCGCGACATATGCATGCCCACGCCCATCCCCACCCACCCACCCACCCCCACATACACACAAATAAGTAAGTAAATAAATAAATGTAAACTAAAAAACTAAGGGCTGGGGATGTAACTCAGCGGTTGAGCAGTGCTCTAGCATGCACAAAGCCCTGGATCTCAGTACTGCATTAAATAAATAAGTAAATGCAACTGCGCAGTAGTTACATTAAGTGTTTGGTGGATGATAATAACCAGGATGTATTTCTTATAAAACACTATAAACCAATGGGAGAACAAACCAACCAACAGAATAGGCAAAGGATACGAAGAGAACTTTACGGGGTGGAAAACTGCTAGTGTTGAAAATATAAAAAGACAATTTCTTTAATGAGGGCAACATAAATATAAATATAAATGATAATAAGGAGTTGAATTTCTCATTCAACTTTTGGATAAAATTTCCAAGTCACTTATCAGTAAACGTTGGCCAGGACATGAAAACAGGAAGTCATGCATTGTCAGGCGGTAGGGTAAGTGGGCACCATCTCTGGTAAGCAGTTTGAAGCCTGGGAGAGTTGAAGGTACCCCTGCCACCCACTAGTCCTTATCTGGTGAACAGCACAATGAGCCACGTGTGCCTGTGATGTGTATGTGGCATCCTGGCAGCAGATTTGTTTTCATTCCCCTCAAAGGCTAATGAAATACTATATAGTGGTTAAAATGAATAGACCAACTAGACTTGTTCACATATGCTGTATCTCAAAATAACAATAATCCACCATGAAAACAAAAAGCTCAACAGGATGTGCGCTGAATAAATACCATTTAAGTAAAATTTCAAGACTATCGAGCCCAGTAGTGTGCACTGTTTGTGGATGCACACATGATAGGCAATTCTTAGACATACTGGGGGGAAGGGGGAGCAGATTGAGATGACCCTGGCCTGGTCTCCGTTTTTAGCAAGAGCTGTAGATTGCCCGGTTGCCTTCTAAGACCTGTTCCAACCCACACATCCCCAAGGTTCCATGAAGTGAAAAAATTATTCTGCCTTTTCCTCTCGGTTCCAGTTGGGGTTCATCCCTAACTGTAACCAGGGCACCTGCTCAGACTTTTTTTCTCTTTTCATTCCGTTCCCAGATCTTTCCAGCCTCGGCATTCAATAAACACGCGTTTCAGTGAACCTGTCCAGGAAAGAGGGTCATCTCTCGTGGTTGCAAAGAGCACTGTGTCCACGGGGGCGAAACAGCAACTTGGGGTCAGCAAGCCGCTCCCCGCTCGGCCTCAGTTTCCTCCTTAGCAAGCCCGTCTAGCCCCTTCCAGCCCGTGCCCTCAAGGATTCCAGAAATTCTGTCCTTTCTGGCCGAAAACAACACTGAGGCTTTTCACAAAGCACTCCCACCCCCACCCCTCGCTCCCCTTAGATCCACAGCCCGCGTCCCTGGAACCCGGGCTGCACCGCGCTGGTCACATGAACTCCGGCTTTCTCTGGTGTGACGGCTCTCTCCGATCCCTTTGTGAGCGCAGGTTTTGAAAGCCAACGACCGGGTTCTGGGTTTGAGACGCGCAGGCGGCCGCGGGCGGAAGGCTGTCGGAGCCCATCGGCCCGCCTCCAGAGCCAGCGCGCCGCACGGGTCGCGCGCCCCGGATTCCGCTCCGCCGCCGCCGCCGCCGCCGCCCGCCGCGGCCTGGCCCGAGGGCGCCGGGCCGCCAGGACGCCAGGTGAGCCGCGAGGGCCGGGGAGCCGCGACGGGCTCAGGGCGTGTCCGGCGCCGCGGCGGCCCGCGCCTCACTGTTCGCTCCTACCGGCTGTAGATGGAGCTGTCTGGGTTCCGGCCGCCTCCGACGAGCCTCCGAGCGCTCCTCTTGAAACGCCTGAGAGGGACATGCCTCCCAGGATGCAGTTTGTAGCAACATGGCAGCTGCGGTGCAGCTCCCCTGCTGAAGAGGCGCCGGGACGGCCGCGCAGCTCGCAGCCGGGACCCGGGCCGCAGCCGGGGTCGCAGCGTCGGCCGCTCGGGGCGGGCGAGCGCGCCGGGGGCGGCCGCGGAACGCTGGGGCCCAGCTTGCCGCCGGGGCGCAGCCAGCCCAGCCGCGCTCCGACGCCGCCGCCGCCGCCCGCGCCCGCCCGCCGCGCGCAGCCCCGAGCAGGCCGGGGCCCGACGGCCGCGCAGCCCCGGCGGGCGAGGCCAGGCCGCGCCGCACTGCCAGCCCGCCCACGGCTCCGGGCCTGCGTGGGACTGCGCGCGGCGGCGGCGGCGGCGGCGGGGACTGCGCGGCGCGGGCCGGGCGGCGCAGGGCCATGGCCGAGGCGGCCCCGGCTCCGGGGAGGGCAGCCCGCGCGCGCACGGACGCGCGGCCTCGGGGCTCGGGGGACTGCCTGCGTGCTCCGGGCTCGGCGGCCCGGCCTGGGGTCTCGGTAAGGGCCGGGCGCGGCGACGTTAGCGGGGAGGGGGCGCCCTGGCGGGCTCGCGCGCCCCCTGGGGGGGAGGCCGGCCGGGGCGGGCGGGAGCGGCGGCCGTCCGTGCGAGGCTGCGCGGCCGCACGGCGCCCGGACACGCGGCCCGAGGTGGGGCGCGGGCGGCGCGCTCGCTCCCTCGCTGCGGAGCCGGCGCTGCGTCCGTCGGGGTGGCCGGCGGCACGTTTTCCGCAGAGCTCGGCCCCGCGGAGCGGCTCCCGGCCTGGGCGCGGCGCTGACGCGGCTCTCCCATTTCGCAGAGCGGAGACACTGAGGCACGGACACCCGGCGGCGACCTGCCCTGCCTGCCCCAAGGTCACGTAGAGAGTCGGCCCGGGCTGGGTGCCCGAAGCCCCACTGAGGCCTGCCCGGCGTGCTGCGGGCCTGGACGGGGAGGGGGCGGCGCTGGCGGCGGCTTCACCGGGGTGGGCGGCCTGGGCTGGCCGAGCACTGGCTGCGGCCCGTCGGGGGAGGAGGGGAAGGCCGGGCAGCGCCCAGCCCAGCCAGCGTCTCTGGTGTGGGGAGCCCTGTGACCCACAACCTCTGCATCGGGAGGACCCCGAGTCAAACTTGGGGTACGGATGGATGGGGTCTGGCGAGTGAGCACCGAAGAGGTTGACGGACCTCTTCAGAGGGCCATTCAATAATTAAACGCCCTCCCACTCAACGTGCTCTCTGAGACACCCTGGCTGTGCTAGGCAGGTTTGCTGCATGGGAGTCCGTGCCTTTGAGCCTGTGTACGGAAGAGATGGGATAGATGGCTTTCTAAAAAGCCTCGCAGTTCTTAAAATAACAATAACAAAACTCCTGGGAAATAAAATGATTTTTTTTTAAACATGCCTACCTCCGGGCTTAAGTCTCCAGAACCCTTTCATGATATGGCATGTAATTCTGGGTGAACCATCCTGGGTCATGTAAGAAAATGGCACATCTTTTTGTAGGAAGTCAGATGTGTTTTGTTATGCATTTTTCTAGTACATTGGCTTGGATCCTGGGGCCCCCATTCTCTGATCATACGGGGAGGGAGAAAGAGACAGGTAGAATCTATGAAATGTGGCGCAGAGGGGTTCTAGCCTTCCTCTCTGCTAGCAGTTTGAGAATTTGAGCTTATTCATTTTAGATCTTTGCTTTAAGGGTAAGATCAAGCCACAGGTTTACTGGAACTGATGACATTGTATCAGGACTTAAGTAGTAGATGGGGAAAGGGACACATCTTGTGACCCTTCACCCCTTTCCAGTACTCCAAATTCCTAAATGGAGAAAACAAAAATTACTATTTTCCTTTGAGCTCTGATTCAACTGGCTAATAAAGATGTCTTGCCCTGCTAGCTTTATTTACTATAGCCTTTTTTCTTGAGTTAAAACCCTGTGTTATCGGGAAGCTAACCTGCCCTCCAGGTATTTTTTCCTTCTTCCTACTAATTGTAGGCAAATACCCCACAGGTAGACAGTCTTAATGTACCTATTGTGTTGGCTCTGTTGTCCCTTTACCCCGTGAGCGGGGCTTCCACCTAAGGGAGCTGTCTAGTCTTGCTACCAACTCAGCAGTGAAGGGTTGAGAGTTTAGGGGTCTTTGAACTCGGTGTTTGCAGAATTATGCATCTGTGTGTATTTTGAGGAGAACTCATCCCTTGCGATGGGCTTTCTAAGGGCTCTTAACACCACCGTAATCGGGGATGTCTTTAAGGGACAGGACCTTCTATTCCCACATGATTGCATGTGGTAAGCCTCCCATAGGTCTGTTAAATCACCAAGCCTCTGACTTGTTTCACACCTATCAGCTTCCTCTGTCTATAATTGAGGCCTAGAGTTCACCTATAGACTCTGAAGCCTGCAATCTATGTGACCTGAGGCAAGGTACATGCAGCCTCTCCTGTTCCCAGTGTTTTCATAGACTAAAGGTGGATAGTCCTAGTAGTGCCTGTTCGTTCCATCAGGTTTTGTGAGGCGCACATGAGATGATCCTTGAAAATGCTTTGACACAGTTTATGTCACATAATAAATCCTAAATATTTACTCAGCTAATGAGCTCCCATATAACAGAGCTATGGATCATGCTTTCTCAAAGATCTTTGCTGGACAAGGTCTCAAAGTCTTCAGTCCTTGGCTTAAAAGTAGAATGCTGCTTTAGTGAAGTCATCTGTGCGTGAATCAGCGAGCAGATGTAAGAAAGACAGCTGTGGAAGGCATGACGTGGGTTCAGACAGGTCTAAAAGGTGGCGAAAGGAACCTCGTCACTTACCTGGATGATCTCTTTAACTATCAGTATACAGTTGACTCATTGGACAGGCATTTATTGAGCACATACTATAAGACTGGACACAAGGGATATGCTAATTTTCAAGTGAAGAAAGCAAGTTTTAAGTACCTTACAAAACACTCTTACAGAGAACATAGAAGCTGAACAGGTTCTTTGAAGGAATATTATGAAGAAAAGAACAAAAATGGTTAGAAAAATTCCGTTTAGATCCAGTAAAGGTATTGAATGGCTAGGTCAGTGGACTAGGCACCCACAGAAGAGCATGGCTTCACCTCCCTGGTGGTTCAAGATTTTAACATGGATGTAGCAAGATGGGGATCAGACCGCCAGAAGGAAACTTACCTTTACTCTGCTGTGGTCCCCACCACTCTTACCACACTCTCAAAACTAGTGTGATGCCTGCCTGGCTTCAGTCACTGCAGGCCCACCTTCTCCCTTAACCCTACCTCAAGAACCACAGTGAGGGAGCCCAGCAGTGTACGCCCGCCCCGGTGGACCCTCTGCCTAGGAAACGGGCTCCTGAGGAGGCTGAATTGCCCGCGTTACCGTCACCACGTCTCAGTGTCCTTTGCTTGGAGCAGAAGCCAGTCGCCATGCCCCAAGCCCATCAGCTCTGCAGAGCTTTGCAGACAGACAAGGGCAGCAGTCCCAGGGGCAGGCTGTGGTGGAAAGGGCAGCAGTAGGTATTGATGGAGCCACGAGCTCAGTTCTTCCCGGTACCCTTCCCCTCCTGCACACCATTCGTCATGTCTGAAGCGTGTTGGGGAGGGAAGATGGCTCTGGAAAACAGAAGGTGGCATAGCCATCTCTTATGCGTTGTTCCTAATAGCTTTATCATTGATGTCAACATCAGTGCCACTATCAGAAGAGATGTGCTTCCTTGGAATGTGTCTTATTGTGGCAAAACCTGAGGGCCTTTTAGCATGAGTGCTTGTCTCTTGGGTTTGTTTAGCCAGCTGGAGACTGTGACCTTCAATGCTGTCTTTCCTTCTCTCCCTGAACACAGGTCCAGCAGCTGGACATGGAGGACGGACATTCATCACCTCTATCTTTCTCCAGGGGTCCACACAAAGAGTCTGTGCATCAGGCCCCTGCCGGACTCCCCAGAGAAACTGTGTTCCCTTCTTGCGTTCTTCCCCCCAAAGAAATTCCTTCCTTGTCTCCCACTGCCCCTCGGCAAGGTGCCCTGCCCCAGTCCGACAGTACTCCGAAGCAAGAGACTTCTGGCCAGATGTCACATGTTCTCCAGAAGGGACCTTCACTCCTGTATCCTGCCACCTCTGAGCAAGACGCACACCACCAGGGATCCCTGGCTTCCCAAGAAGAAACCCAGTACTCTCCTTCAGCTGCTGGTCAGGGGACCCCTCTCCTTTCCCACTCCACCCACCATCAGGAAGCTCCACCCCACTCTCCTGAAGTTCCTGAGAAAGACTCGCTGACTCTGTCACCCACAGTTCCCGAGACTGACATGGATGCCCTGCTCCAAAGTCCCACTTTGCAAAAGGACACTCCCTTCCATACCTCTTCTACAGCCCAGAAGGAACAGCCCCTGCCCACCGCAGAGATCACTCGCTTGGCTGTGTGGGCTGCCGTCCAAGCGGTGGAAAGGAAACTGGAGGCCCAGGCCATGCGGCTACTGACCCTGGAGGGCAGGACGGGGACAAACGAGAAGAAGCTTGCGGACTGCGAGAGAACGGCCGTGGAGTTTGCAAACCATCTGGAGAGCAAGTGGGTCGTGCTGGGGACCCTGCTGCAGGAGTACGGGCTGCTGCAGCGGCGCCTGGAGAACATGGAGAATCTGCTGAAAAACAGGAATTTCTGGATCCTGCGGCTGCCCCCAGGCAGCAATGGAGAAGTTCCCAAGGTACACCCATTCCACTGGGGTCTCCCCAAGGAAACCATCCACAGGGGAGCATGGCTTAGGGATTTAGTTCAGTTGAAAGAAAAGGAAAGTGATGGTTGGGAAAGGAAAAACAAGAAGTAAGAATCCATGACGTCCAGTATTGCTTCACCCAGAGCAAATTATTTCTGCTGTTGTTAAAGCACAGATTGGTATATAAGTCCACTTAGAAAGGAGTCGATCAAGCCCTTCCCAGAGCCTGAGACAGGCCGCAGGAGGAAGGCTTGGGAGAATGTGTGGGAGCCTGCCCTCCTGTCAGTCTGCCCTCCACACGCTCCGGTTCTGCATGCCGATTTCTGCCCACTCTGGGTTAATACGTCTGCCCTGAACATGAACGTGTTTTTCTCGCTGTCCCCTGAATGATAGATTATAACAGCTGTACCCAGCATTCACATTGAGGCAGCATCACATGCCATCAAGGGGTGATTTAAAGTGCTGGAGTTTTTTTTATAGTTTTTATGCAGATACTGTGCCATTTTATATAAAGACTTCAGCATCTGCAGACTTGGGTATCCTGAGATTCTGGAACCAATCCTTTGCAGGTACCAAGGGACGACTGTACCAATGAGCAGTGCTTAATGGGTTACCATCAGACTGGACGGGAGAAGACGGTAGTTTAACTGATGGAGGTTTTGTACCGTCTAACTTTTTTTTTCAATTTACTTATAAATCTTTAATGCCAATAAAACTCATTTCAGGATGTATCCTTAAGGAACTAAGAAACAGGCTTTAATCTTATTTTCCAGAAGGTTCTAAAGAACCTTTTTGTTTCTTTTTGTTCCAGACTGAGTCTGTACGCCAACACCTCTTGGAGGCTGTTGTACATTAGAATTCTAGGGTCTCCCTAAAAGCGTACTGGTCTCTGAAGGTCCAGGGTGAGGCCTAAGAGTGCATTCCCAGCCTGTTCCCTGCTGCTACTGCTGCTACATGTTTTAAAGTAGGAAGGGCCTGGGCAAGATGAGTCCTCCACCCCTTGGCCAGGAATGTGGCCAGATTTCAGCCCGTTTTTAGGAAAGCCCCCTGAGCAAGTGCAGGGGAGGAAGGCCTCCCTCTCCGGTCCTTGGGAAGGGGGTTGGGTTTAACAGTCTGTGGTGTTAGCTCTTTGGTCCTTGCTGACCCGGTTGCTTGGTTTCAGGTCCCTGTCACATTTGATGATGTTGCCGTCCATTTCTCGGAGCAGGAATGGGGAAACCTCTCTGAGTGGCAGAAGGAGCTCTACAAGAATGTAATGAGGGGCAACTATGAGTCTCTGGTCTCCATGGGTAAGTAGGCAAACATTTGGTTTGGTTTCGGTTTTATTTGGTTGATTGGTGGAGGTACTTGTTTGGGTTTGGTTTTGTGTATGTGTTGTTTTGTTTTGAGGTAGGGCTACACTGGCTGGCCTAGAACTTGCTGTGTAGACCGTGCTGGCCTCAAGCTCACCGAGATCCTCCAGCCTCTGGCTCCCTAGTGCTGGGGTTATAGAAAGGCACTGCTATGCACATGATGGGTTTAACAGGGTCTTGCTGTCGAGAGTTTAGCCCAGGCTGACCTTGAATTCCCAGTCCTGCTGCCTCAACTCCCTGATATTGAGATTATAGACATGCACTACCACACTAGAATTTTACTCGTTTTGTGTGTGTGTGTGTGTGTGTGTGTGTGTACAATGTGGTGCATACCTCTGTGTGTGTGGAGGCCAGAGGTCGATGTCAAATGTTTCCTCTGTTCTCCTCGTTAGTGTTTTGAGGTGAGGCCTGTCACCGAACTAGTTCACCTGACTAGGCTGGCTGGCCAGAGTGCGTCTGGGACCTACCTGCTCCCTTCCCCTCCCTCTCCTCGCCAGCCAGCACTAGGGTCACAGATGGTCACCACTACACCTAGTATGCTGGGTGCTGGGGATCAAAGCCGTGTTCCCATTCGTACAGAGCAGGCACTTTACCAACTGAATCATCTCCTGGCCCTCCAAACAGAATTCTAGAGAATACCACAAAAGGGCTAGAGATTGCTCAGTGGTTAAAAGTTCCCAGCACACACATCAGGTAGCCTAGAACTGCCTGTAACCCCAGCTCCAGAGGATCCAACACTTCTCTTCTGAACTTTGTAGGCACCTGGAATCACATGTACACAAACATACATACACATGTAATTAAAAATAAGATAATTTTTTCTTTTAAAAAGAGTGATATAAATGAAAAAAACAAACAAAAACGAACATCCCACATACTCTTGTATGTCAATATGGAACAATCTATTCATAGAGACTATAGGACACTTGGGCCGCAGGGGAAAAGCTGGCTAGACGTTGGTGGGCCACCATAGAGCATTTTCCCCTGCATCCTGTTTATAAAATTCTAGTGAATTATTAGTAAAAGGAAAGTAACTAGAGGAATACGGATGTACTGAGGGCCTACTGTGTGTCAGCGGGGTGTGAAATGTTTCTAGGAATAACAGTAGTGAGGGACTGAGGACAGGATTAGAGATCTAGTTTTCTTACTCACACAGCTGGACACTATTGCTACTAAGGCCAGATGACCCCAGGGTCCTGGTCCCCATTAGGAAGTCACAGTGTCATAGAAACTGTTTTATACCAAGGTCTGTTGATTCTTGTTTTCATTAAAAACATGAAAGGACAAAAAAAAAAAAGGAAAGATGGACTTTCTTTCTGTATGTATCCTTTTCTGTCATGTGTAGGATTTTTTGATATAGATAAAAGAAAAAGCTGAGGGTCTCAATGGATAAAGAGCTTGCTATGAAGCATAGGAAACCTGAGTTAAGATCGCCACCACTCACCTAAAGGCCAGCACAGTGGTGTGTGTCTGTAACTCCAGTTACAGCTGGAGGTGCCTGGAGCTTTACTGTCTAGCCTGTCTGGTCAAAACAGATTCAGGTTCAGTGAGAGATCCTATCTCAGAAAATGAGGAGGCAGAGTAAAGAGAAGGCACCTGATGTAAAACTCTGGCTTCCATGTATGCATACAGGTGAGCACACCTGCATACCCCGCCTCCCCAAAACACAAGTACAAGAGAGAAAGGTGTGAATGTTGAGTACACTGTTGGACAGAAACTTGGATTTGGGTGCTAGAGATGCCTCAGCAGTTAAGGGCACTTGCTGCTCTTGCAGAAGACCTCAGTTTGGTTCCCAGCACCCACATGGCAACTATCTGTAAGTCCAGTACCCTCCTATGGCCTCAGTAGGTATGAGGCACACAGGTGGTACACATGCAGACATGCAGGCAAACACTCACACACGTAAAATATGAATGAGTGAATGAATGAGCAAATGAATGAATATGGGATTGGAGAGAGCGCTCAGCATTTAAAAGCATTGGCTGCTCTTCCAGAGGACCTGGATTTGGTTCCCAGCACCCAGATGGTAGCTCACAACCATTTGTAACTTCAGTCCCAAAGGATCTGATGCCCTCTTGCCTCCATAAGCACTGTTCACAATGGTGGACAGGCATCCATGCAGGCAGAAATGCCTGAAGACATAGAGTGAAAATCTCAAACACTTTTAAGTTTAAAAAAAAAATCCTTTTTTAAAAAACAAACTTTGATTCATGCTAAAATAGGTAATTTTAGACATACTTTTCCATAGGCTAACATTACTCTTCTTAAAAATTTGTGTTTTTTAAAATACAGACACAATTATAAAAAGTCAACAATTTACAATTGCATAATAAAGAGCAACCACTAGCCCACAGAGGAGGCCACCAGGCCCCCTTTAGATCCTGTCCTTTCTCATCTTTTCTGTACATGTATAAACATGCACAGTGTATGCCCCGTTACACATGTAGTGTGGAGTCTGCACAAAGGCGACCATTCATTTGTAGTACCTCATATTAGACAGCTTTCCTCATCAGCACCTGTGGGCCACAATCCTTGGAAAGAAAGTACAGTATCCAGGAGAACTTTGGCTTTTTTTTTTCAAATATGTATGAGTGTTTTGCCTGCATGTTAGCATGTGTACCACATACATGCCTGGTGCCCATGGAGACCAGAAGAAGGCATTCAGTCCCTTAGAACTAGAGTTACATGTGATTTGTGAGCCACCATGTGGGTTCTGGGTACCTAACCGCGGTCCTCTGCAAGAGCAACAAGCGCTCTTAACCCCTGAGCCCCTCTCTGGGCCTCTGAACTCGGGCTTTTGACTGTACTGCTGCTGGGCCATGGTGCTTCTGTCTCTCTCACTACTGTTGTGAGAAACAGCCCTGTTTATCTGGGCAGTGACCCAGTGATTGACAGTACAGATGTGAAGTGGACTGTGGGGTAGAGGATGCACTACCGAGGAGCCTCTGACAAGGAACCAGTGTCTTGTCTGTAGCAGCACGTGAGAATGCCATTTCTCCACACCCTGGTTTCTTCTGTTGTTTTGAATCTCTGTCATGTTTTGTTTTGTTGTCTGAGACAAGATCATGTAACCCAGACTAGCCTCAGATGTTCTGACCTTGAACACCTGATCCTTCTCTATTCCAAGTACTTAATATAGGCAAATATTTGTCCCTTTGATAGATGAAAAAATGATACTATTTTTATTTGAATGTATTTATTTGATGATTAGTGAACTTGTGCATCTTTTTTTTATATAATTGCTAGTCATTTGTATGTCTCCTGTGAATTACCTATTCATACTTCTGCCCTTATTTTCACTTATTATAAAGGTTGCTTCTATATAATTATGAATATTAACCATTTGCTATATGTGGTAATATGTATGTTTCTAATATTTCTGCCATGTTTCTTCATCTTTTATTTCAAAATGATTTTTAACTTCTTGAGGAGTAGTGAAGGTTGAACTGAGGGTCTCCTACATGTTAAGCACATGTTCTACCACTGAGCTGCACGTCGGCCCTAACTTTTTTCTTTTTCTGTCGGTCTGGCTATGTGTCCTTGGCCCACCTGAAATTCACAATGTAGCCCAGGTTGACCTTGAACTCACAGAGATCTGCCTACCTCTGTCTCCCCAGTGCTGAGAATAAGGGTGTGTGCCACCACATCTGGCCTCCTATTGTGTGTTTTGGAACAGGATCTCCCTCTGTGACCCAGCCGCCATCAGACTCACAGCAGTTCTGTCTCCAGCTCCCAAGTGCTGGTATTAGAGGCATGAGCCATCATGACTGGCAACGCTTTTTCACACAAGGAACCCACTCTATCAGTATTTTGTTTTATGAATTTTATACTTTATCAGGATTAGTTTTGTCTGGAGCTCCTGGGCAAGCTTCATTCCCTGTGAGCAGCGTGAGACACATGTGCACACGGGTCCTGAGGAAAGAGGCTGAATACTTCCTGTTTATTTCCCAGCATTGCAGCCCCTGGCAGAGGGGCTGTTCCAGGTCACATCCCCACAGATAACACCTTTATAGCATACAATGCCACCTCATACCACAGAATATTTTCTTTCCTTCCTTCTGCCCAGACTATGCAATATCCAAACCAGACCTCATGTCACAGATGGAGCGTGGAGAAAGGCCAGCCATGCAGGAGCAAGAGGACTCTGAGGAGGGTGAGACGCCCACAGACCCCAGTGCTGGTGAGTGGCAAATGGATGTCCCAGGGCCCTACATCCTGGGTCTTTCAGTAGCTCCAGTCTAGAGTGCCACAGTCAAGACAGGACCTGAGCAAGCTGTATAGGAAGGAGGAGGCCTGCAGGTAGATGTCCTCTTGGGACACCAGTAGCACAGGTAGCTGATAAGTAGGAATGCATAGAGTTCATTGTCTTGGAGATTTTTTTTTTTTTTTGACCTGACCCATTCTTGCCATACTTTTTGCAGGAAGAATCATAGAGAAGGCATTCCTGTGTTATGCTCATACCTTCTGGCCCACAGAAGGGCCATGTCTCTGCCTGAATAGAGGGCAGCATGGACTTTACTAGGCAGTAGCCTACACACATTCACTGTGAGTGATATCTTGGTGCATCAGTTTTGTAGGCTCTGCTTGGGATTTTCCTTTGGACTTGAGTCACTTGCCTCAGAGATTTTCAGTAGAAACATCCCCTTGTCCTTGGTGGTGAATGTAACAGTCAAGCATAACAGAACATCAGCCAGGCAGTGGTGGCACACACCTTTAATCCCAGCACTAGGGAGGCAGAGGCAGGTGGATCTCTGGGTTCGAGGCCAGACTGGGCTACAGAGTGAGTTCCAGGACAGGCAGAGCTAGCAACACAGGAAAACCCTGTCTCAAAAAAATGAAAGGAAAAAAAAAAAAAAAAAACGACTAGAACAGCACTGGGGATCCTATTGACTGCAGAAAGGAGAGTGTCCTGCTGGGGAACTGTTGGTGACCAACAGACAGCTTTGTTATGATTTAATGTCATTGATTTGAAGACTGCATTAGCTCAGAAACAACCCAAGGCAGGGAAGGTTTGTCTGGGCTCCCAGTCTCAGAGGGGTCAGGCCATGGCTGCCTGGCCCATGCACTCAATGCCCAACATCAGATGGAGGGGTGGGGCTTACCCCAACTCAGTATCACAGATAAAAATAGATGAATTTGAAAGTAGATGAGGTTGAGGGGTTGGTCTAGGGATATACTTGTTATCCTCTTGGTTAGAGGAAAATCTGAAAACAAGAATTGGGTGGGAATAGAAAGATTCTGTGTGGAAGAACTCAGGCAGGGAGGCTTAAAGCAAGAATTGGCAGAGATGCTTCGTGGCCAAAACCCTGAAATATGGCTGCTGCCCCCACTGGTTTTGAGGCCAGGGGCCGCACTGGTAGCATCCACCTCTTTCCCTGTCTCCTTTTGCCATCTGCATCCCAGATGGGCCTCCCATTGAATAGGGTTTGAGTGAAAGACAAATGACCTAGCCCACTTTGCGCTGAGCTGGGTTTAGTCTGGCACACATGTCCAGGGCCTGAGCTTCTACAGAAGCAGTGGCCTCGTGGAGAGCCCGCCTGTGTCGTTTGCACGTCTCCTTCCCAGCCCTTGGAGCTGACATCAGTGGGGGGGGGGGGGCAGGTGACACGGAATATTTAGCCAAAGGCAATTGCTACCGGAGAAACTGTCGGTGTCTGCCCTTCCACAAACCTGGGTGATCTGCCCAGTGTCTTCTCCCTAGCAAGAAGGTGGCAGAGCAGCCCTCAACCAGATCCAAAGGTAGACCAAGAGGGTCATCTAGAAAACTGAGAACTTTCTTAGTTCCACGTATATCAAGAATGACAATTTTATGAGCTGTCTCAGTAAATTCATTCAGTGCTTTGGGTCCCTAAGAGATCCAGAGAAAAATCAGATATTTGCACTTAGCTGGAAGTACTCAGATTAGTTGTGTCCATGTCATCTGTCTGTGTGTCCATCCATTTGTTCCCTTCCCTGTGTACTCACAGCTTGCAAATGCAAAACAAACCAGAAGGCATGGAAGAAAGGAGAATTCTCATTTGTTTTAAACCTTTTTTTTAATTTTTATATTTTATGTGCATTGGTGTTTTGCCATGGGTGTTGGGTCCTCTGGAACTGGAGTTACAGACAGTTGTAAGCTGCCATGTGGGTGCTGGGAATTGAACCTGGGTCCTCTGGAAGAGCAGTCAATGCTCTTAACCACCGAGCCATCTCTTCAGCCCCTGTTTTAAACATTTTAAAAATATTAATACATTTAACCTAATAAGGTCGTTTGAGAGAGTCTAACATTGAACAGAATCTAAAATATAGTTTAAAACATACTACGTGTATCATAACATGGTACACTTTCTGTCGCCTCTGACATCGTATTATGAAGAATTTTTATACCATAAGATTCACTTGTTTGTTTATTATTTAGTTCATCAGATTTTTTTTGTATCAGGTACTTTGTCCGTAGCTGGGTACCCAAGAGGTCCTTGCTCTCTCTTAGGCTTACACCAGTAGAGAAGACCAGTTTTAGCAACCACATCTACACTATATGAAAACAGTCACTGGACTGGAGAGATGACTCAGCCATTAGCATGTACAGCTCTTGCAGAGGACCACGTTCAGTTCCCAGCACCCACATCAGATGGTTCACAACTGCCTGTTATTTCAGCCGTAGGGGACTCACTGCCATCTGGCCTCCTCTAGTATGTTCATGAACGTGGTATGTGCACATGACCTTTGTGCACACAGATGTACATATAAGTAATATAAGTATTTAAAACAAAGCAGAAAAATCACAGTCATATCCTATAATACAGCTGTGACAAAAAGCAGCCAAAGAAGAAAGACAAAGCAGAAGATTTTGCTGAGCTTGGGGGGTCAGAAAAGGCATCATACAGACTGGCACGGTGTCTCAACAGGTAAAGGTGTTTGCTGCCAAGCCTGAGCATCGGAGTTCAATCCCCAGGATACCCATGATAGAAGGAGAGAACCATCTCCAACAAATCCTCTGACCTTCACATGAATGTGTACACAACACACAAGTACAGTAAAAACATTTAGTAAAGAAGACAAATCTTGGAACAATGAAATTTTAGTAGAGACCTAAATAGCAACTAGATTCCTTGCTCCTAGGAGAACTAATTGAAAGGAAGATACTGGAAGCTGGGAGATAGCAGTATGTAGAGCCCTTGGCCACAGCCCAGTGGGAACAGTGGCTATTTGCAAGATATGTATTGGCTGTTGACCAAGAAAAACTTAGTGACTGGTGGGTGTGAGTAAGGGGAGTGGAGGGTGCAAAGGATGATTCCTAATCTCTAACTCAGTGAGACCTGGATGAAGAGAAACAATAAAAATTCACTTTTGAATATGTCCCAGCAAGACACTAAGGAGAAAGCTGCTGAATAGAGTCTGGAGTTTAGAAGCAGAGTTCTGGTGTTGGACATTGGGACATTTGGACATTAGGTATTGATGGTATAGACAGAATTAGATTGGTCTGAAAAGTACAGACTGTCATTGCAGAACCCCAACTCTTGGCAGAATTGGGGATCTGGGATCTGTTGATCAGAAGGAACACAAGTCTTGTTTTATCTTAATTAATTGTTTTATGTATGTGTGTGTGTATAGTGTGCAGACGTGTGTGTGTGTAAGGGTTCATGTGTGTGCAGGTTCCTATGTCTGTGTATGATGTCAAGAGTCTTCCTTGGGCTGGAGAGATGACTCAGAGGTTAGTAGCACTGGCTGTTCTTCCAGACGTCCTGAGTTCAAATCCCAGCAACCACATGGTGGCTCACAACCATCTGTACTGAGATCTTGTGCCCTCTTCTGGCCTGCAGGAATACATGCAGACAGAACATATTATACGTAATAAGTAAATTTTTTTTTTTTAAGATCTATTTATTTATTATGTACACACAGTGTTCCACCTGCATATGTGCCTGCATGCCAGAAGAGGGCACCAGATCTTATTATAGATGGTCCTGAACCACCATGTGGTTGCTGAAAACTGAACTCGGGTCCTCTGGAAGAGCAGCAGCCAATGCTCTTAACCTCTGAGCAATCTCTCCAGCCCCCGTAAATCCTTTTTTTTTTTTTTTAAGAGTCTTCCTCAATTGCCCTCCACCATATATATTAAGGCAGGATCTCTCAGTTGAACCCAGAGCTCACTGATACGACTAGTTCAGGTATCCCTGTCTCTGCCTTCCTTATGCTGGGATTATAGGTGAGCCACTATGCCCAATCAGCTTTTACATAGGTTCTGGGAATCCAAAGTGGTTGCTTATAGCCATCTCCCTAGCATAATTTTTATTTATTTTATGTGTATGAGTATTTTGCTTGAATGTAAATCTGTGCGCCCCACATGCATGCCTAGTGTACATGGAGGTCAGAAGAGGGCATTGGCTCCCCTGAAACTGGAGTTATTGACAGTTTGAGCCACCATGTGGTGGCTGGGAATTGAACCCAGGTCCTCTGCAAGAAAAAAATGCTCTTTTATTGTTGTTGTTTGTTTGTTTTGTTTGAAACAAAGTCTCTATGTAGTCTTGGCTGTCCTAGTGCTCGCTGTGTATACTAGGCTATCCTCAAACTCACAGATCCTCCTGCCACTACCTCCAACAAATTAAAAAAAAAAAAAAGGAAGGAAGAGATGGGAGAGAAAGCTGAGGACAAGGTGGGAAGCTGTGAAAGATCCTTGCCTTTTCTTTTTGGGAACCACTGGTATAAGCCAGTACACTAGAAGGGTCTAGAATTTTTACAAGTAGATGAAATTAATAAATGCTGCATGTGTGTGAATGCTTTGAGAGCAGAATTACATAGCTTGGGGACTGAGGAGGATTTGGAGCTGACTGTGTGGCCATTAACAGTGAGCAAAGCAAAAGAAAAGGGAAACAGCCAGCTGCAGACAAGAGCTCGCCAGCTGTGGCTCCGCATCAGGCTCACCGAAACCGTGAGGCATTTGGGGGCTGGCGAGAGGTTTGGAGGGAATGGTCCTGTCTAACCAGCTCAAGAAGTGCCCATACAGGTGTGTTTTTAGAAGTCATGAGGTGAGAAACACGAATCCTTGGAATCCCTGGCTACATAGTGAGTTTGAGGCCAGCCTGGGCTACCCACGGCCCTGTCTGTAGGACAGTTAGGTGGACACAAAGGTGAGAGAGACTGTATGCACATCCGACTTCTGAGACCTGAAGGAGAGCATCCAGGTACTGTTTATACCAG